AAACTAATAACATCCTTTATATACGTTAAAATAAATCTTTAACTAAACCCTCACAGCGCAACTCAGGCGCATTTCCTTTATTCACTCTGAAGTTCTTGAACTTCAGCGTTTACCTAAACGTATACCTGAAGAAGATGGAAGGTGATGTGGGCGTGCGATTGCTGTAGTTGGGCGTGCAGTTCCTGTGGGTGGACGTGTGGTTGTTGTGGGTGGGCGCCGCCATAATGTTGTGTGAGGATCAGTTCTTTCAACAACTTTTTGAACAGTCTTTATAAAACGATAGAGGGTTGGCCTGGAAACAGGGTCGTCGGCAAGGGCTTGCCGAACAATAGTGTTTAAGTCTGGATAACTGCCTTTCAGACAGTTAACAAGGATATTGTCAACTATAATACCTAGCGAGTACATATCGCTCTTGGTGGAGCAAATCCCTCCACCTTCTGCAAACAGCTCTGGGGCCATCCAAGGAAAATCGTTTTGACAGACCTTTAATTGGCTAGGATACTGCATATCGTCAAACCAGGCTAGCCCATAGTCAATTATCGAAACTATAGGCCAGATATTATTGTCTTCATATTGCACAGTGATATTATTAAATTTTAGATCGTTATGGATAACACCTTTGTCGTGGACTTCGGAAAGGGCTCGAGCGAGTTGCAGAACAGCCTTAAGACATCCATGATCAGTTTTCATAACTTGTCGCAAGTCGGAAAAGGTATTTTTGCCTCTGAAAGATAGTACCAGAGCTGAGGGCTTCAAACACTCTCCCAGGAGGAGTGGGGCCCCGCCAGCACCATCCAAAATAGCCAAGAAGTTGGCTTCCTTAGAAAAGTGAGGAGCATTCGGCAGGTGCCTAACTTTCAGGCACTTGAGTACGTCAGCGTCGCGTACTAAATGAACTACTCCTCCAGCACCGGAACCTAGAACCTAAATACTGTTATCAATTAATTTCTTCAGAGACTCCTGCGTGTGTATGTATTGATTCTCTGAACTGATGTATCCTGTAGGGAGGGCCGATCTTGCCTCACTCACAGGTGGGGGGGGGTTAGTCATTTTGGTTGCTGTGCCCTTGCTCTTAGGACCTTCCTGGACTTTTATCCTAGTAGAGTGACCTACGTGGCCCTGCTTCCCACCACTCTCACGCCAGAGTCGTGCATTTATGCGACTACGCTCAGCGTACTGGAGTCTTGTATCCCTAACTTTTATTTCCTCTTTCCGTAATAGTCGATATCCTCCGAAGAATACGTTTGGAGCTTTTGTCACCATCTTGAGAGAATTTAGCATCGTGTTAAATCTCTAGCTTAAGAATATATGATTTATGAGCCTACGATATTACCCCGAATATAATAGATGGTAAGTAAATAGGTATCTTCGAATGAAAGCGAGACAAACGAGTATCATAATAATAAGTTACTGTTGTGTTTATAGTGTTATGTTGGAAGTATTGTCTAATTAGTATTGTCTTATTAGTGTAAGTAGCGTTGTCTAGTGTTGTGAAAATAGTGCTGTGTAGGTAGTGTGTGAAAGTAGTGTTGTATAGGTAGTTGTGTAGTGTGCGAAGGTAGTATTGTGTAGTGTGTGAAGGTAGTGTTGTGTAGTGTGTGTGAAGGTAGTGTTGATGTATGTGTGAAGGTAGTGTTGTTGTGTGTGTGAGGTAGTGTTGAGTAGTATGTTTTGGGAAAGGGAGTGTTGTGTAGTGTGTGTGAAGGTAGTGTTGTGTAGTGTGTGTGAAGGTAGTGTTGTTAGTGTGTGTGAAGGTAGTGTTGTGTAATGTGTGTGAAGGTAGTGTTGGTAGTGTGTGTGAAGGTAGTGTTGTGTAGTGTGTGTGAAGGTAGTGTTGTGTAGTGTGTGTGAAGGTAGTGTTGTGTAGTGTGTGTGAAGGTAGTGTTGTGTAGTGTGTGTGAAGGGAGTGTTGTGTAGTGGGGTGTGAAGGTAGTGTTGTGTATGTGTGTGAAGGTAGTGTTGTGTAGTGTTTTGGAAGGTAGTGTTGTGTAGTGTGTGTGAAGGTAGTGTTGTGTAGTGTGTGTGAAGGTAGTGTTGGTTTGTGTAGTGTGGGGGAAGGTAGTGGTTGTGTAGTGGGGTTGAAGGTAGTGTTTGTGTAGTGTGTGTGAAGGTTTGTGTTTGTTAGTGTGTGTGAAGGTAGTGTTGTGTAGTGTGTAAGGTAGTGTTGTGTAGTGTACGAAGGTAGTGTTGTGAAGAGAGTGTTTAGTAAGTAGGGTTGAGATCGTATTGTGAAAGTAGTGTTGCACAGAAAGTGTAGTGTAAATATTGTTTTGTATGTGGTGTTGTCTAGATAGTGAGGTGAAGAGAGTGTTTTGAAAAAGTGTATAATATAGTAATATTAGTAATATAAGTAGTAAGAGTAGTAGAGATATCTCAAGTGATGCCCGACTACTATCCGGGAATCAGACTATTACTACTGCTACTACAACCTCACCCTCTTCCCGTATATGCCGTCACTCTTCACTGTAAATTATTGGCTTGACGAAGTTCTTGATATAACAAACGCTGACTTAATTATCGTCTCATTAAGTCACATATGAGGCCATTAATATAACCAACGTGCCTTCATCATTTATAGAGATATATACGCCTCTTACTCTCTATATCCTAACCAACGAACATTTCAGGAATACATAACATACATTCATTAAAATTAATAAACTGTTTACAAGGAATAATTGAAACACTTAATTATTCATCTTGTTTAGTAAATACCATGCACAACATTGTTCCTCCTAGGTAAGACTGCAACACCATACACTACTGTGTAAAGGTTCACAATTACCATCACATCTCTACATTGTTTATTCACTGGCAGTCATTCACTACGACTTGAGGTCATATATGTACATTATTCGACATTCTTATGTCAACAACCTCCTTAAATAAATCTAAATAAATAAATAAATATATATATATATATATATATAATTTATATTATATATATATATATATATATATAACATATACATGAGTTATGACTAGACGTCAACGTTGTGGTCATCAGTACTTTGTTAAGTGTTAGAGCGTGAGAATGCTGGGGTTTACTCTTAACATCTTTGGACATTTTCTTTTCAGCGTTTCTCCGTTTGTTTAACCGAGAGGTAAAACTTAGTTTGGGGACAGTGTGTATATACACTGAGATGGATATCTCTCTCAGTGTACATATGCCGAGATTTTATTTTAATCCTTATTTTAGGGATGAAAGTATTCTTGTCTGGTGGTGATAAGGTTGTGCTTTTAAGCTTTCAACTCCCCCCCATTAACCAGTCCACCATTTCGTGTAGGCCACCGGATGCATAACTGGTAAGTGTGTCATTATCTGACACGGACCCGTGTCAGAAGAAAAGTCTGATACAGAACCGTGTCAGAGGACACTTGTCCTGTGTCATGAAGAACCAAATACCCTCTCCAAGCCGGGCATTAAACCGTGCAAATGGTGTCTCGTTCAATATAAAAATATATACATCAGAAATGTCCTTTCAGATATACATTAAGTCAGTTGTGTTTATAAGTAGAGGAATATACTTTATAAAACTAGATGTAAACAGTAGCACTTCAATAAATTAACATTTGAAAGATGTTACATCTGTGTATATTTCCATGTGTCATGAAATGTCTGTTGCATGCTGCCATTCAAGACTGTTTGTAGCAAAATAAGGTTGCTAGGCAATTGTGCGAAATCTTAATAAACAACCGGTTCATTTAGGAAAACAGAAATGTTTTGAATCCACGAGGTAAAACTGACAGATGGGTCGTACTGACCACGAGACCTTGCCAGCTACAATATAGCATACAACCTTATTTTTTGAAGAGGAAGGGAGAAGTGGCAGCGTATATTCATCCATTTGTTTATATTTCATTTAAGCTCTCACTGATAAGTACTGTTTTCTTAGACTTAATTCGCCAGTCATTTCTTTAATAGAACTATTTTGATCTTTGTGCCTCAACATTACTAATTACTAACCCAGGAAAGACGAAGCCTGTGTCTTGTTAATTAGAAAATAAGCCCACTTATAAGAACACCTGACACTCACTCTACATTGAATCTCTTAACCAGAAGAGATATTGCAGAATCTGGGTCGCATAAACATTGTTTTAAACATCCACCTGGGACCTTCTAGCATCCCACAGATGCCGTGAAACGAAAGTTTACATTAACAAAAGCTTGGAAGGCAAACAAGAAAACAACTAAATGATAAAAACAGGAAGATAATGCATTTATAAGTATTGATAACAAAATACTGTCAGTAGAGTACAAGCTGTGTGGTAAAGAATACAGTTATGTAGACTTGACGGAACTTTTATCTCAGAAAGTTGTCTGTCAAATATATTCTCCACTTTATACACTTTTTTGCTTGAATATATTTATGCATGAAAGACGCTTAACCTTTTGTCGTCAGAGAGAGCTGAAATTTTGACCAAGACTCAAATATCCTCATTATCTCAACCAGTAAATGGACACTTTGTTCACGGTCTGTTTACATATTGAAAATGCAGTGAACTCACACAATAACACACACACTGGCCTAAGGTCACCTACACGACTGAAGAATTAGCTCCGAATATATATGTAGTATATATATATATATTTATATATATATATATATATAATAAAATATATTTATATATTAAAATTTTATATATATATAAAATTTTATATATATATATATATTATATTATTATATGCAAACACCACTCTGAAAGAAAAGAAAAATTTCCAAGCGCTTTCGTGATACTCACATTATCAAGGAACTATGATAATGTGAGTAGTCACGAAAGCGCTTGGAATTTCTCTATTCTTTCAGAGTGGTTGTTTTGCATATTTTGAAAACACCTGTTTACTGTGATCTTATTGCATATATATATATATATATATAATATATATATATATATATATATATATATATATATATATATATATATTATATATATATATATATATATATATATATATATAATATATTATAATATATATATATATATATATTATAAAACGATGGACCTATCTTTTAAGCCTCAAAAGATGTGTGCATGACTTCAGCATTCCATATGTAAACTTGAAAATATACACCTGCTGCATTCACTACAAGAAACCACTACAGCTGTTATACTGGGCACTTAGGTTAAGCTGAACACACCTTTGCTCCACTCATTACCACCTGGGTGCGTCGAATACAGCTGTACCACAGGTACTAATCAAATATAACTAAGTCACGTATTGGCAACTAAATCAAGCCAAATACAGTTGTATTCCATATAATATCCACTAAGCATATCCATAAACTTGGAGTTCCCCCACATACTGGCCAGTGGAGTGAGTCAAACATATGTGTGAGCGTCATGGGTATTGGTCAGCAGGCAAGGTTGTAAAAACCTACTTTGCCTATCCTGTGGACCTCTTGTTACTTCTTTTATCCAAAGTACAATCGTGATTCGCACTGACTAGAAATTATCTCTTAGCAGTAGCGTCATTTATTCCACTGACCATGGATTAACTTCACTCAACGGCTTCATGTAACGGCTTCATGTAACGGCGAGATGCGCCGCACTGAAAGGTCTACTTGGCGCATGTGTGTGAAAGTAACTGAGGAAGCTCGGAGGTGTGTCCTCTTGACTAGTGACCGCTGAGGTAGGCAGTGTAGAGTTTCCTGGTCTTCTCCTGTGCCCAGGGACGCTCGAGGGACTGCGAGCGAGGGACCCCGCCACCCACGCGCACCGTAGTCCTCACCTCCTCCCTCTTCCGTCGACACCACCTGCAGCAGAGAACACCAGCTACTTATATCCATCAAGCACCATACTGCTAAAATGTAGTTAGTTAACTACATAAATTGCAGACAGTCATCGGGACAACGTTTCTGTTTAGAGATTTATCAAATCTTAAAGCTAGAAATAACTAGTTAGTAGACTTCAAACACTCAGTATTGGGCTTTACACGGGGTATATACACAGTGTATATACCCCGTGTAAAGCCCGTATCATTCAGTGTATATGCGCTGCTAGTTTACTTTAAGCCCTATTTTAGGTATTAAAGTATTCCTGGCTGGTGGTGAACAAGTGACATGCAGCCTTAATGATCTTCATGTAGCTTATAATCTCTAAACCCAATTAACCGATCAACTAAGTTCTATTTCCCCCTCCAAGAATAAACCATCTTATGTTGAAATAAACCATCTTATGTTGAAATAAACCAAGCCTACAATGTTCATCTTACTAGATTATAAGATATAATCTGCCAGGTGTACCTCCTGAGTACTCTGCAAGGAGTGTACTATGTGTGGAGAAATTTTCTTCAGGCGGGAGGTATCAGCCCCCTTCAGCCCTTCAGCCCTGAGTGGCCCAGCCCTCTCAGAAGGGGTAAGCATTTTCTTTACTTCCACATCAAGTAATTACAAGCAGATATTTAACCAGCGTGTACCAGTCATAGGTTATGTGATTCTTTGCAAGAGACCAGTGTTGCAAATAGTGTAGTTTAATGTGAGACAATCAATCTCTTACCTTAGCAGGGCAATTAAGGAAAATCCTGCACCCAATTTATTACCATGTTAAATTATTATTATTATAATCAAAAAGAAGCGCTAAGCCACAAGGGCTATACAGCTTACCATGTTAAAGATAGTGTACATTGTTGTTTATGCCCAGACAGCAAGAATCAAGCATTTCCTTTGCTTCCTGATGGAAGTTTGGCAAGCAGGGGAAATATGCTATGTCAGGTTTCCTTTTGTAGCTGAGGGCAAGTGAAGTGCGGCGAGGGGCGTCTTAGCTTAGATTGCTTTTAACCCTGCCAAAAGACACATTGACGCCGGGATAACGAACAAAGAATACTGATCTGCGCGCTTTTGTACATAAAAGTATCTCAATAGACACAGCAGATACAGAGAAGTGTGATCAGCTTCTTTACTGATATGACTGTGAATAATAAACAATACTTGATGAACAGTGTGTAACAACGAGTGTTGCGATCCTGACGGAGTGTAGTGCGACATTCTTCAAAGAACACGTCTGCCTCAATCAAGACACCGATACCCTAGTGATTATATGGGTCCGATACAGATACCCAAGTAGGTCTAGTAATTAATGAGACTAGCTATGTCAGCTCCACAGCAGATAGCTGTTTCATTTCTTTCTAGATGTATCATACACTCAGTTATAGGCGGGCTCTTCAGCCCAACACAAGTAAGTATATATTCCCTTCAGCAATCACTTTCTGAGATATGCTGACACAACACCCCCTAGGGGTAATTATACTTATACAATATTTTTTCACAGCCCTTAGGGAGTGCATACGACAGCTTCTCAAGACATCGCCTACAGGGGCGGCTGTGTAGGCGAGAGCTGTCTTTCAAGGTAAGTCCCATTACAGTCCATTATTTACTCTTTGACTTAGCTTGTAGCATTTTTCTAAAACTTTGTAATATAATTTACTCCTAAAATTTTTTTTTAACAAGTTGGCCGTCTCCCATCGAGGCAGGTGACCCAAAAAGAAAGAAAATTCCCAAAAAGAAAATATTTTCATCATTCAACATTTTCACCTCACTCATACATAATAACTGTTTTGCAGAGGTGCCCAGAACACAATAGTTTAGAAGCATATACTTATAAAGATACACAACATATGCCTCCAAACTGCCAATATCACAAACACCTCCTTTAAAGTGCAGGCATTGTACTTCCCATTTTCAGTATTCAAATCCGGCTATACAAAAATATATAAAAATCTTATGTAAGTATTATTACATTTAAAGGACTTGGCTCTACTCCACAATAACACCAGCTACTCACTCCTTGTAAGCCGTCTCACACTCGGCTTTGGACCTGGCGTATCTGGTCTGGTCCTCCAGGCGACGTCTTTCTCCTCTCATCTTCTTCTCAAGTCTCAGCTGTTCCCTCTTCCTCGACAGCCAGGCCTGGAACGCCTCTTCAGCCCGCTTCCTTCGCTCTGTTACTTCCGAAGTGCTCTTCCCTGCACCGTTAGAAGCGTGGTACTGCCTGGAAGAGGGGCAGGGCTTATTATTATTATTATATTCAGGGGAAGTGCTAAATACGAGAATGGAAGGTCATGAGGTTAGATCCAAGGAAGGAGAGGGCAGCTCCAAGACCTTGAACCAAGAGCCAGGTGGTGGTATGGGACGCTGATACAATTATTTTATTGGCTTAAAACCTAATATAACAGCCTAGTGAAAATAACGTCATATGGTATTCCCCTTTACAAAGGGATACTTATCCAGTCATAATTGTTTGTGTTGAAGGTATTATTAGTGTATTTTTGAAGGTGAATGTAAATAACTGGCTATGAGTAGAGAGGGATGAAAGAAATGTTGAAGGTGACTAACTTTTTACTAACGGCTGCCTGCTTGTTCTTCTGTCTCAGCCAGGCGCGGAACACCTCGTTGTTCTGCTTTTGACGTTCATCTGTGTTCTCGGTAGACCTACATAACATGAGTAAAAAAATAGTAAATAAATGGTTATAATCATAACCATAATTTTTAAATGGGTGGCGGGGTAAGCCAGCGGAAGGCCTCGGTCAGATGACCATAAGCTCCAGCTGCGGGTCATCAAATGACTAAGATCCGCGTCAGGAAACACTTGTCGTGTTTCCTGACAAACCATACCTATGTTAGGTAAAAGGACACAAGTGCAACTAATGTGACATTTTATTGTGGCAACGTTTCGCTCTCCAGGAGCTTTATCAAGCCGGCTTAACAAAGCTCCTGGAGAGCGAAACGTTGCCACAATAAAATGCCACACTAGTTGCACTTGTGTCTTTTCACCTAACATACTGTCGGTAATTCTATCTACATTATTACAACCCATACCTAACCTAACCTAACACCACATATACACCGAGAGGTATATCTCTCAGTGTATACACAACGAGAGTTTAATCAATATTCTGGGTACTGAATTAATCTCGACTGGTAGTGAACAGGTGACTTGCAGCCTCAATGACCCTCGTGTAGTCAAGAAGCTTTAAACCCAGTTAATCAACTTATTTAAAATATTTTAGTATTTATTCTGCTGCGGCGATTCACTACTTTTTTATGGGGCTTAAATATTTAATATCACGTTTTGTCTTGTGGGTGTTTTATTTTTTCTGCTGGACCGATAAACCAAGGAAACTCTCCGTCGAATGACTAAAACCTCTTCATTAAGAAATTAATATTATTATCATTATTATTACTGGTAGTCCTAGTAGTAGTAATGGTAGCAGAAGTAGTTGGAGCAGTAACAACAGTAGTTGTAGTAGTAGTAGCAGTGGTTACATTAGTAGACTTTGGTACTTACTTGTGTAGGTCTGAGGCGCTGGCCGCCTTGCGCACTTTAGCGTGAGGTGGGGTTCTACCAGAGGCGAGGGGCCCAACTCGTCCCCGTGGGGCGGGGTTGGTGGGTGTGAGAGCCAGCCCATGGGCACTGGTAGGTGACCTTACAGGAGGGGCAATAGGTATGAGGGCCAAACCTTCGTGGGCCCCTGTGGGTAACCTTACAGCAGTACCGGTCCCGGCGGACCGGTGCGCCGTGGGCCGCACTGGTCCGCTGATGGGTGTCCGGCTGCGTCCACGGAGGCACGGGGAAGAATGCGACGATAACGAGGAAGAGTAAGACGAGGAAGACGATGCGGAAGAGAGAGGGGATGAGGAAGAGGAAGAGGTGGATGCAGCAGATCTCGAGCGTGATGATGTCGATGTTCTTGTTCTATGGCGGCTGGTGTTGAGTTTTTCCGAAGATAGAAGGGCTGGCTTGATCATGGGAGGGCTAGTGGCAACATGCTTGGGTTTAGACCTGGGTGGTGTAACAAGCTTCGGCGGTAGCGATGGCGAGTTACTCTCAGTTCTCTTTTTACTCTTCTCAGAGGTTGTACCTGAAGACTTCCTTACACTTTGGTCTTTCCTGCTTTTATGTGTTGATTTCTTCACCGTTGTGACCTCTGGACTGGTTGTCCTGCTTTCACTCCGGCAGTCATCTGGCTGCTTTTTAGAACTAACTTCAGGTAAATGTTTAGATTGTATTTGAGAAGGAGCTGGAAGTGCTTGGGACGAGTCTGCTGGAAGTACCTGGGACGAGTCTGCTGGAAGTGCCTGGGATGAATCTGTTAGCGTGGAACTTTCTTCTTCCTTAGACTCTGCTTCCGTGAGCTCTTCATCTTGAGAATCCTCGAACTCATCACTGTTCTCGAAATAAGCAATGTCAGCATCATTTATGGCTTTGAGATGATTTGCTAGGTCTGTAACTTCACCTGATTCTCTTCTCTGAAAGAAGTCATTAGAATTGGTCTCTCCTACGTCGCATTCGTTAAGTCTAAGATCTGCATTTACTACGTCGTTTAAGCTGCTGGGACCTCTTTCTATATGCACTTCCTCTCTGACTTCTATAAGGGACATAGTGACTCCGCTTCCTTCATCCTCGTCTACCAGATTCGCTGCGTCTCCTGGTAGACACTCGAGGATTTCTGAGGTATCATTTTGATTAATGAAAGTTTCTAGATCGGCCAGACCAGACTCGTCAACCTTTAACAGCGTCTTCTCAGATGGAACCTGCGATGTTGATCCTGTTTGCTTCTCCAAAATAAGATCATTTGCAGGAAATCTGAGCTGAGATTCATCCTGGTGGCAGTCTAATCGAAGTTTAGGAACGTCTGTTTTCCTCTCATCCTGGCTGTTGTCGTTGTACTTGAGTTTATCCTCCTCACTGACACTAATAGTTTGTTTACCTTTATCCAAGTTCGCCTGGGAGGCGGCGTCCAGACTTAGGCCAAGGCTGTTACACTCCACAAAGCAGCTCTCCTGGGAGAGGTCAGCCATTAGATCGACCACATTAACGTTACCTCCCAAGACCTCCTTGACCTCGGAGGTGAGGGCGGTGAGCCCCTCCTCATCCTCTGCATCGTAGAGGAGGTCTGACGAATCACCATACCCATCGTCGGAGTCTGAAACATATGACTTAACTTAGAATATCTCTCAACTCACACGTGAGTGAGAAAGATCGTCGTTCTCAAGTCATAAAATCAATGTCGTAGTAAATATTAAAACTTCGTCTACACTTAGACACATTATCAGGAGCCTGACAGCTCTACACCTGACCGTAGGGACTCTGAATGGGCCGTGTGTAAGTTTCCCTGCATGACCTGAGTGATTACTCTTCTAAAAAATGCCTTTAGTCTTTGCACAAATAACCTGCGCTTCAGAGACTGAAATTATAACGACGTTTCGTCCTGATTCGGACCATCAACTAGTCACACTGTCTGGTAAGAGCGGGTTATTTGTGGATTTTTATAGCCACGGAATTGTGACTTTTATTCTTTATAAATGTATTTCTTCGACGATACTTATTGGTATCCTTTTTTTCCAATCAATGACTAACCTAAATATTTTTTCTGTTATAAGATGCCAGATAAAAGTTACCACAGAAAACAAGTATTTTTCAGGTACTCTGCCTCAAATATCTACAATTATAAGCTGCCAAATGAAACTTGTATAAAGTGAGCAAATTGAAGAACGATTAAAAAACAGTTATAGACTGAGAAATAACATTTCTCATATGAAACAAATACATTACCGAGGAAACAAACCATACCACGGGTGGGGTTTGAACCCGAGGTCAGAGTGTCTCAAAACTCTCTGACCGCGGGTTCAAACCCCACCCGTGGTATGGTTTGTTTGCAATCGTGTCATTACGATTTCGTGAGACATTACCGAGGGACAGAACTCAAAATATTTATCAGTCACAGAAGAGCAGCATAGTGAGAGGGACTAACCTGACGGGATGTACTCTCTGGGGGACTGATAGTCCGCTATCACTTCCCTGAAGCGGACAGTAATGGCTCGGTCACACTCTGCAGGTGTAGGGTCCTCTATCAGCGCTCGGTTCACTTCCTTCAGCCTCTCCGTCATGTCGTATGGAACCATGTCCACGTCTAGTGAGATACAATCAAGTTAGTAACTTTATTTATCTGCACTTACACATTTTTTAGATGTTTCTAATCGTCTTACGTAATAATATCTGTGTAAATGATCAAGGAGAACCCCCCCCCCTAAAAAAAAAAAAGTCAGACAAATAAACAATGAAATAAAAAAAATTAAAACGATATTTTACCAAAATCTGATATTGCAGGATGTCAGTACCATATTATGACAGAGATTTCTTGGTAGATAGAACTTCACAGTACAGTTAGGTTAGAGTTCTATTCAGAGCCAAAATAATGAATGGAGTCTCTTTTAACATGTGTTCAAGTGTATGAGTAAGACATAGGAGCAGCAGTGTGGTGTCTTTATTGACTAGAAGTATTGCCTGCTGAGCAGGCTTCTTCACTCGTAAAAAGAAGAGTGGAAGCCTGCTGAACAGGCGCAACGTTTCGTCAATAAAAACAAAACTGCTGAACATGTGTTTTATTCATCAACTTGTTCAGTTTTGTTTACTATTGTGACACTGGATTCAGTAACTTACAGTAAGAGTCATCATCATCGTCATCATCATCATCGTCGTCGTCGTCAGCTTGGTGGTGGTGATGGTGGTGGTGAAGGGGGGCCTGGGGGAGAGGGGAGCGTGCCCCCCGGGCCTGCTGCGGTGTCGGGTAGTTCCATGTCAGCGACTCCAGCTCCATGAGGGCTGCCCGCTGGTCAGCAGTCACTGTGTAGTCGTCGTCTGCATCCGTTATTCTGTGCAAAACCAGCTTTCGTTATTATTAGTAATAGTAGTAGTGGTAGTAGTAGTAGTAGTGGTAGTAGTAGTGGTAGTAGTAGTGGTAGTAGTAGTGGTAGTAGTAGTAGTGGTAGTAGTAGTGGTAGTAGTGGTAGTAGTAGTAGTAGTAGTAGTAGTAGTAGTAGTAGTAGTGGTAGTAGTAGTGGTAGTAGTAGTGGTAGTAGTAGTAGTGGTAGTAGTAGTGGTAGTAGTAGTAGTAGTGGTAGTAGTGGTAGTAGTAGTAGTAGTAGTAGTAGTAGTGTAGTAGTAGTAGTAGTAGTAGTAGTAGTAGTAGTAGTAGTAGTAGTAGTAGTAGTAGTGGTAGTAGTTAGTAGTAGTAGTAGTGGTAGTAGTGGTAGTAGTGGTAGTAGTGGTAGTAGTGGTAGTAGTAGTAGTAGTGGTAGTAGGTAGTAGTAGTAGTAGTAGTAGTAGTGGTAGTAGTGGTAGTAGTTGTAGTAGTAGTAGTAGTAGTGGTAGTAGTGTAGTAGTATAGTAGTAGTAGTAGTATTAGTAGTGGTAGTAGTTGTAGTAGTGGTAGTTAGTAGAGTGTAGTAGTGGTAGTAGTGGTAGTAGTGGTAGTAGTGGTAGTAGTAGTAAGTAGTGTAGTAGTAGTGGTAGTATTAGTAGTGTAGTAGTGGTAGTAGTAGTAGTAGTAGTGGTAGTAGTAGTGGTATGTAGTAGTAGTAGTAGTAGTAGTAGTAGTAGTGTCGTAGTAGTGTAGTAGTGTAGTAGTAGTAGTAGTAGTAGTAGTGGTAGTAGTGGTAGTAGTAGTAGTATAGTAGTAGTAGTAGTGTAGTATGGTAGAGTAGTAGTATAGTAGTAGTAGTAGTGTAGTAGTAGTATAGTGGTTAGTAGTAGTAGTAGTGTAGTAAGTAGTGTGGTAGTAGTGGTAGTAGTAGTAGTATAGTAGTAGTATGTAGTAGTGGTAGTAGTGGTAGTAGTAGTAGTAAGTAGTAGTAGTAGATGTAGTAGTGGTAGTAGTAGTATGTAGTAGTAGTATATGGTTAGTAGTGTAGTAGTAGTAGTAGTAGTAGTAGTAGTAGTAGTTAAGTAGTAGTATAGTAAGTAGTAGTAGTAGTAGTAGTAGTAGTAGTAGTAGTAGTAGTGGAAGTAGTGGTAGTAGTAGTAGTGGTAGTAGTAATAGTAGTAACAGTAGTAGTAGTAATGGTAGTAACAGTTGTAGCAGCAGTAGTAATATAATTATTATTATTAATATTGTTATTAGCATTATTATTATCATAATTATTTATATCTATCCTCATCATCCATGGAGAGTGAAGAGGGATAGATCCAAGGATAGATGTGAGTGCTAGAAGCTGACTCAGGTGCGCTAGTACAAACTAGAAACATTGCACTGACCTTGTCTTCTAGCATTCCCTAATTCCTCCTTATACCAGAGAGAAACAATTCTAGATATTAATCTTCAAGTAGAAACTAGCTGAGAAAACGTCATAACTTGGGGTATTCAAATATGTAGAAAAACAACTCGTTATTTTTTCTTTGTAGCAAGAGTGATGGACTGAACACACTGACTCCAGGCTGAGGGACTGATTCACTCAAACTACTCCTCATCTTTCACCGTTCCTCTCTGTTTTAGACTGAAGAAACCACTGGCTGGCCAAACATTTCCAGAATAAAGGTTCGTAAATGTTGCCCTGGTATCTCAGTTATCAATGAAAAATTCTTCAGTGAGCTCTGTTATCACGTTCCTCAAGGCCAGAGTGTTAGCTTGTGAGAGTCACACCAGACCTGGTCGTCACGACCACACCAGACCTGGTCGTCAAGAACACACCAGACCTGGTCGTCACGACCACACCAGACCTGGTCGTCACGACCACACCAGACCTGGTCGTCACGACCACACCAGACCTGGTCGTCAAGAACACACCCACCAGGAACACGCAGCTATGTTCAACATCTTTTAAAATTCGATCAATACCTCCAGGTTTCAGTAGTGTGATCGATGCTACCCTCACCGCTGGGAGGTGCCAAGAGATGAACTTTCGATAATTCTCCGAAATGAGAGTAATCTCACTGTCGGTCATCGCTAATTGTTGCCAATTACCTAATAGTTATTATCCTATTGCTTCACGGTCATTTACGAAAGAAATAGTTCTCCTCACGCGAAGCCAAGTACGGTCAGCGCTAGCCACCGCTGGTCACCTTATCTGAAGCCAAGTAAGGTCAGTAATAGTCACCTCTAGTCACCTTATCTCAAGCCACGTACAGTCAGTGCTAGTCACCGCTGGAAGCAGACTAACCTCTGGAAGCCAGGGGTTGCCTAGCCATGGGTATATAGCACTGGTAAGCCAGCAATTATAATTTATTCACACAAGCCACTGTGTCTTAGAAGAGTAAACCAGTGGTTGTTGGTGCAGCTTCCACAATACTGACACTCACAACACTCACACCATCACAGGTAACACACTCAGAACACTCACACCATCACTGGTAACACACTCAGAACACTCACACCATCACGGGTAACACACTCACAACACTCACACCATCACGGGTTAACACACTCAGAACACACACCATCGCTGGTAACACACTCACAACACTCACACCATCACTGGTAACACACAATACTCACACAATCACTGATAACACACTCACAGCACTCACACCATCACTGGTAACACACTCACACCATCACGGGTAACACTCACAGCACTCACACCATCACTGGTAACACACAACACTCACACCATCACTGGTAACACACTCACAGCACTCACACCATCACTGGTAACACACTCACAGCACTCACACCATCACTGGTAACACACAGCACTCACACCATCACTGGGAACACACTCTCAGCACTCACACCATCACTGGTAACACACCAGCACACACACCATCACTGGTAACACACCAGCACCCCACACCATCACTGGGAACACACTCTCAGCACTCACACCATCACTGGTAACACACAGCACTCACACCATCACTGGTAACACACAGCACTCACACCATCACTGGTAACACTCTCAGCGCTCACGCCATCACTGGTAACACACTCTCAGCACTCACACCATCACGGGTAACACATTCAGCCCTCACACCATCACTGGTAACGCACTCACACCATCACTGGTAACACACTCAGAACACACCATCACTGGTAACACACTCACAGCACTCACACCATCACTGGTAACACACTCATACACTCACACCATCACTGGTAACACACTCAGAACACACCATCACTGGTAACACACTCACAGCACTCACACCATCACTGATAACACACTCAGAGCACTCACACCATCACTGGTAACACACTCAGAGCACTCACACCATCACGGGTAACACACTCAGAACACACACCATCACTGGTAACACACTCAGAGCACTCACACCATCACGGGTAACACACTCAGAACACACACCATCACTGGTAACACACACAGCACTCACACCATCACTGGTAACACACTCAGAGCACTCACACCATCACGGGTAACACACTCAGAACACACACCATCACTGGTAACACACTCACAGCACTCACAGCACTCACACCATCACTGGTAACACACTCAGAACACACACCATCACTGGAAACACACAGCACTCACACCATCACTGGTAACACACTCAGAACACACACCATCACTGGTAACACACAGCACTCACACCATCACTGGTAACACACAGCACTCACACCATCACTGGTAACACACAACACTCACACCATCACTGGTAACACACTCAGAACACACCATCACTGGTAACACACAGCACTCACACCATCACTGGTAACACACTCATAGCACTCACACCATCACTGGTAACACACTCACACCATCACTGGTAACACATTCAGAACACACAATCACTGGTAACACACTCACAGCACTCACACCATCACTGGTAACACACTCAGAACACACCATCACTGGTAACACCCCACAGCACTCACACCATCATGGTAACACACTCAGAACACACACCATCACTGGTAACACACTCACAGCACTCACACCATCACTGGTAACACACTCAGAGCACTCACACCATCACTGGTAACACACTCAGAACACACACCATCACTGGTAACACACTCACAGCACTCACACCATCACTGGTAACACACTCAGAACACACACCATCACTGGAAACACACAGCACTCACACCATCACTGGTAACACACTCAGAACACACACCATCACTGGTAACACACAGCACTCACACCATCACTGGTAACACACAGCACTCACACCATCACTGGTAACACACAACACTCACACCATCACTGGTAACACACTCAGAACACTCACACCATCACTGATAACACTGGAATATAAGAACAGAGGAACACTGCAGTAGGCCTACCAGTACAAATGTGGATAAGCGCACATATGTACACTTCAGGACACTTATTACAGCAAACGTTTTGCCACGTGTGCCTTCATCATCAGCATCAGCAGCAGCAGCAGCAGCAGCAAAGTGCAGCTATTAGTAATAGTTGAGCTTGAGAAGGAACTGTCACCCGGGGCCAGTAGGCCTGCTGACGTGAAAGGGAACTACGAGCAGGGGAGCAGGGGCCAGTAAGCCTGCTAACGCGAGAAGGAACTACCAGCAGGGGCCAGCAGGCCTGCTAAAGTGAGAAGGAACTACCAGCAGGGGCCAGCAGGCCTGCTAAAGTGAGAAGGAACTACCAGCAGGGGCCAGTAGGCCTGCTGACGTGAAAAGAAACAACTAGCAGGGGAGCAGGGACCAGTAGGCCTGCTAAAGTGAGAAGGAACTACCAGCAGGGGCCAGTAGGCCTGCTGACGTAAGAAGGAACTACCAGCAGGGGCCAGTAGACCTGCTAAAGTGAGAGGGAACTACCAGCAGACCTGCTGACTTGAGAAAGAACTACCAGCAGGGGCCAGTAGACCTGCTGACGTGAGAAGGAACTACGAGCAGGGGCCAATAGACCTGCTGACGTGAGAAGGAACTAATCAGCAGGGGCCAGTA